TGTGAATCCGGGTGGAGACCTGATTGGCCAGCAGTGTCACAAGATCTGGGGACTCTTGGGCCCAGAGTCAGTGACATAGCCACAGTGGACTAGAGTGGAGAGTGAAGCGTCCAGCTGATAAGAAGAGAGGGCATATGCACAAGAACACCTACACTTGCAGATAATACCCATTTGACCTGGCTTCAATGACTGGATGATCAGAGCTCAAGTAGAAGAAGACTGAAGAAGAAAAAAAGAGTAATCTGGATAGAGTTTGATGAACTTGACCTACACCTATGGATGCAGTAGTTCAAAAGAGGGAACAAATCTTTGTAGCAAGGATCATTCTCACCCCCTCCATATACAGAGTAGATAGGGATGGGCAACTTGCACATTGGCTACCCAAAGTGTGGGGGCTACAAAGGCAAGAAGTGACTGGCTTACAAGCTTTCAAGAGGGAACCTAGATCCAGAGGGTGTGGAGGAAGGTAGAATCTCCACTGAGTAGTATCCAGTCTGTTTAGGCCGGGCTGATGAAATGAAATGTGGATAGGTCTCTTGTGATACAATAGTGAATAATTGCTATCAGGACTGATCATGAGGGTTGAAAATGTAAAGGTAGACATTTGTAGCAAGGAGGGAGTGATTAACTTTTCAGTCTAGGAGCGGAGGTCCCTGGGACCACCAAAGGGGGAAGAGCAGAGAGGGGAACCTACCCAAAGAAGCAGTGATGCCAGAGATGGAGGCAGAGACAATTACGTGGGGAGATGGAGCAGCTGGGGACTTTAGACCCAGAGAGGGAGAGGGGCTGTGTGCTGACGACCGGGGGGCACGCTTGTTAGGGTATACCCTTTGGTTGGTTGATGATGTATGGCGAGGGGATTGTAACCATGGCAGTGAAACGATATACAATAGGATGAATGTAAAACTAATGTTCTCCCATATAAACTATCACATAATTCACAATAAAACATTTAAAAAAAAAAAAAAAAGAATTGATGATACTGTTGGGAGTCCAAGCTGTACTGAAGGCTTTGGTGAAAAACAAGGCTCCAGAAATTAACAGGATACCATTTTGGGATGTTCCAACAAACGGAATCAGCTCTGGAATCACTCCCTTATCTATGCCATGAATTTTGGAAGACAGGTACATGCCAAACTTAATAGGAGAAGTCATATTTGTACCCATTCCAAAAAAAGTGATCCAACAGAATGTGGAAATTGTCATTATATCACATGCAAATGAAGGTTTGCTCATGATAATTTAAAAACTGTTGCAGCAGTACATTGGGAAGAAACTGCCAGAAATTCAAGCCAGATTCAGAAGAGTATGAGAAACAAAGGACTATCACTGCTGATGTCAGGTGAATCTGGGCTGAAAGCAGAGAATACCAGAAAGGTGTTTACCTGTGTTTCGCTGACTATGCAAAGGCATTTGATGGTGTGGATCACAACAAATTATGAATAACATTGTGAAGAATGGGAATTCCAGAATACTTACCTGTGCTCATGTGGAACCTATGCATAGACTAAGGGGTAATTGTTCAGACAGAACAAGGGGATAATGAGTGGTTTAAAATCAGAACAGAGGTGAGATAGGGCTGTATCCTTTCACCCTACTCATTCAATCTGTATACTGAGCAAATAATCCAAGAAATTGGATTATATGAAGAGCATGGCATCAGGATTAGAGAAAGTCTCATGAACAAACTACTATATACAGATGACACCACCTTGCTTGTTGAAAGTGAAGAATACTTAAGCACTGTTGAAAATAAAAGATTCAGCTTTCAGTGTGGGTAACAGTAACATCTTAGCATAAAGAAAACAAAAATCCTCATAACTGAACTTTAAGCATCATTACGAGATACAGAGAAAATACTGAAATTGCCAAAGATTTAATTGTATTTGCATCCACAACATTTAGTGTGGCAATGTAGGATAAGCACTGTAACACGAGGTTGGTGTGAACTGCAAGGTTGATGGTTCAAACTCAACCAGCCACTCCTAGGAAACCCAGTCTAGGGTCTCTATGAGTCAGAAATGACTCGATAGCACTTAACAATAACTAGTAACAATCAACACCTAGAAAACTATGCAGATTTGCTGCAGAAGACCTCTTAAAAGTGTTAAAAGCAAAGATGTCATGTTGAGGGCTAAGGTGGGACTAACCGAAGCCATGGTGTTTTCAGTAACTTTATAGGCATACGGAAGCTGCACAACTAATAAGAAGGACGAAAGAAGAATTGATACTTTTGCATTATAGGGTTGGTGAAGAATACTGAATATACCTTGGACAGCCAGAAAAAAACTTACCAAATCTTCCATGGAAGAAGTACTGCAGTCAGAAGTGAGAACAGTGAAACTTTATCTCATGAATTTTGGACATGTCATCAGGAAGAAGGACATGGTGCTTGGTAAAGTTGAGGGTCAGCAAAAAAGAAGAAGACCCTCAGTGAGATACACTGATATATTTACTGCAACAGTGGGCTCAAACATAGTATCAATTGTGAAGATGGGGCACGACCAGTTGGGGGGGGGGATGGGGGCACACCCAGGCAATATTTCATTTTCTTGTATATAGGGCAGCCTCAATGACACTTTACAAGAACAGCAACAGAAAGGAAAGAAGCATACAAAGCCTTGTCATACAGTTGGTTTTCACATGTTTATATTTTGTAGTAATTGTAGAGTTAAAAACCTGCCATGTAAAGAAAATATGTATCTTCATAGAGAAGTCTCCTAGAAAGTTAGGGATGTAAGTTTTGTTGCTGGGGTAGAAGGGCAGGATGAATCCTGAATTTTGTTGATTTTATATTGATACTCTGTGGCCATGAGACTGAATACCTCATTCTTGGTGTAGAGAGTCAGTGACGAAGAGAAAGACTCCAAGGAGATGGATTGATAGTGGCTACATTACTAGACTCAAACACAGTAACAGTTGTACGACTGGCTTAGGACCAATCATGGTTTTGTTCTGTTACAGATGGGCTTGTTAAGAATTGGAACCAACTAGATGGCACCTGACAAGAAGAAGAAGAATGGAGAAGATTTGGGAGTACAGCTAGTGTTATACCAGCTGGGAACTTTCAAATAGATGAGCGAAAAAGAAAAAAAGAGCTTAAATCAGAGAGAAATTTATTTATCTATTAATTCATCAAATATTTGAATATTGCTTTGGGTCTATACCAGTGATGACAAAAGCAGTCATAAATCTTGACCATTAGCATTTATAATATGCCAATCAGTTAAGCACAAATACATGATTCAAAATGTAGGTAAATGATATTTTGTTGTTATATGCCATCGAGTCGATTCCGACCCATAGTGACCCTGTATAGGGTTTCCAAGGAGCAGCTGGTGAGCTTGAACCAGCAGTCTTGCAGTTGAAATGGCTTTGTAGTCTGGTGCATTAACCCACAGTGCTGTACCAGGACTCCTTTTCTACTTTGTTGTTGTTGTTGTTATGTGCCATCGAGTCGGTTC